ACATCAAACTTTCACACCACAGATTCAGGGATTGAGGCCGATGATCGGCAATGGAGGAGTGAAGGAGCATCACAAAGGAAATTGAGGGGTTACGGGTTTGTGTCCTGGACCTAAATTTGGCCGAGGGTCATGGACTTGGGTATTGCGGAGAGGCAGGCGACAATGAGCAAAACAAATAATTGTATGTGGCAACCTCAGCAATCTTTCACGCTCAGAATAATGCACACGAAAATCCGACAATTTGAGATCCGGTAGATTTGATTGTAATCTCCTCAGGAAAAATATCCAAAAAATTCTAAAAATCCATTTTCACCGTGAAATAATTGTCGCGCCATCTCGGCCTATTCACCATTTTTGCCACTTTGCCGTGTGCTGGCCAAAGTAAAAAGTATTCCAATTTCACTGATTTTTCGCGTTCAATAGAATGCGTGAAAAAATATGAAAATTGCAGGGCCCATCGATTTTGTTTTGATCTTCTCTAATACTATGAAGGAAGGAGCGGGTCTCGCGTGACGCTCCCAGCGGCCCCAGCGAAATTCGGGCAGGGAGGACCGCGTGCGGTGCCGCAGGGGACCGAGGAGGGCGCACCGGTCGGGAAGGCCAGTAGCTGGGACGGGCAGCATCGCGTCGGGGGAGGGGGGTGTCGGTTGGAGGGGGTGTCAGTTGGAAGTGCGTGGTGCCGCAGGGGACCGAGGAGGGCGCGCCAGTCGGTGAGGCCGGTAGCTGGGACGGGCATCATCGTGTCGGGGGGGGGGGGGGGTCGGTTGGCGGGGCCGTGTTTGTGTGTCGGGTTGCAGGGCAGCGCGTCGTTTCTTGCGGGTGTTTGCATGTCGGGTTGCAGGGCAGCGCGTCATTTCTTGCGGGTGTTTGCATGTCGGGTTGAAGGGCAGCGCGTCGTTTCCTGCGGGTGTTTGCGTGTCGGGTTGCGGGGCAGCGCGTCATTTCCTGCGGTTGTTTGCGTGTCGGGTTGCGGGGCAGCGCGTCGTTTCCTGCGGGTGTTTGCGTGTCGGGTTGCGGGGCAGCGTGTCGTGCCCGCTGCCTGATTCAGGACACACTTAAAAAACAAACAGTCCCCAAAATCACAAAGCCCAATCTACCTCAACGGTTACCTCAATCGGGCAGTTGGGTTTCTCAAATCTACACATGGATTCAAATTTCAAACCCTAAGCATGGGGTTTCTCAAATCTGCACATGGATTCAAATTTCAAACCCTAAGCATGGGGTTTCTCAAATCGGCACACGGATTCAAATTTCAAACCCCAGCTACAACAGTCACCAGCAAGCTTCAAAATGTTAATTTGTGTGTGTGTATGGGCAAGCGTGCATGCATGTATGTGTGTGTGGGTGGGTGGGCGAGCGAGCGAGCGTGAGGCCGCCCTTTTCTCTTTTACAGCAACCCAAAAACAGAAAAGGGGAGCACAAAACAATGGGCAGGAAAACAAAGAAAAGAAAAGGGGGCGCTACGGGCGGGAAAACAGAAAAAGGGGGCCCAAAACAACGGGCGACCAGTAAAAAGAAGAAAAAAAAGCGGCACCCACATATTGGATGACTCTCGTCCAAAATGTTCATCCACATCAACGCCGCCCGCCGTGCCCCGCCCCGCGCTCTCGCATTTCATGGCACACTGAAAAATCCGGTACACACACCCCTCTGCAAACTCCTTCCCCACCCTCAATCGCCTCCATCCACCAGCCCTAACCAAAATCACCCTCAATCGCCTCCGTCTGCTGGCCCTCACCAAAACTTCAACCCGAATCCGGCACGCAGCGGACCATAGACCTTTCCCCCGCAGCCAATACTGCCTAAGGGATAGGATATATCTCACTGATTCATCAGGAGGGTGGACACTATATATCGTCAAATGGAGCTACTTGGTAGACAATAAGCAGAGAGGGAGAAGAGGACAAGAAACGACGAGATATAAAGTACATTAAAGCTGCTCACATATACACAGATCGTCCGAATGCCTTTTCAAAATTTCTATTTTATTGTATAGAAATCATCATTGAACTGACCGGCGCCAGATAGTTTACAATGATTTTATTCTCTTCATCTGAAGGTATCTGGATTCGGACGTCAGGGGGTGTACCAACTGAGCTAGGCCAGCCGGTTGAATGCCATTACACAGGAACGAGTTGAAGAGCTGCTTGCATGAGAGTTAAACCGTCGGAAAAAAAAAAAAAAACAGGAGTTGTTCACAAGTACATTGGTGTGGGCCTGCTTCTGGCAAGGCAGCCAAGATGGCGCTTTACTCATTCCACATCCGCTGTGTCCACCTATTGAAGTACACATCAGGGAGCCACCCCCTCTCGGCTTTTTTTTTCCCCCCCCATGAAAACACACAGCCCCTTTCTATTCTGGGGGCCATCGGTCCAGTTGCATATATATAACCAGCTGCCACAAATCTACCACCTTGTGGTCCCCACAGTGCAATGGATGACAACCAGGACCCAGCACAAAGGTCAGATCTGCGCTGCAGGCAGTGCAGGGTGTGGACAGGTGGAGTCCCTCCCTCGTCTCTTCGTGCGATGCCCGATTGTCCCGCCTTTTCGGAATCATGGTGGGCGCGTGAAGTAGCAGATGCATCTCTGCTGGATGTCACGGAGGAAGACGGCGCAGACACAGCGATTCGCCTCGGAGCCCTAATGAAAGTGAACAGGACGAAACCAGAGGATCTGCTCGCAGCAGAAATCATACAAGCGGCAGTACTGTGCGCCCTGTCGACTGAGTGGAAATAGACCAGCAGGCAGGCAGGCAAACTGGGGAGCAAAGGGCTCATGTGACATATAAGGGTTGTAGGGACTGGGGATGACACCGCGGGTGACACCGTGACAAGCGGCCTGAGGGACTGTCGGAGCACTCCCCTTCCCCCCTGCGACCCGCCCTCCTTGAGATTACACTGCTGCGTGCCTGGGTGGCGCCATTAAGCCTCCTGACCCTGCAAGGCAATCCCTGAGGCTGGGTTATTGGTTGGGGGGTTGGGGAGCTCTGTAGCAGGACCCCCTTGCTTAAGCGGCTCGTGTGACAAGGGTAAGGCTGTCTCTCTCTCCTATTGTCTATTCTCCCTCATTGCTTGCCGGTATTAAGCAACCGGACTGATGCCCCCCAGAACAGAAGGGGCTGTGTGTTTTCTTGGGGGGGGGGGGAAAGTACATGGGTGTCGTTCGAATGCCTTTCGAATGACTGTGCACAAAAAAACGAGTTCAACTTTTTTTTTTACAAGTTGAAGAGCTGCTTGCATCACAATTCTCACAAAAAAAAAAAACAAAAAAAAAAACGAGTTCCACCATATTGAACCGAGTTGGGTGTCGGAATGGCAGCCCAGGACAATGTCCACCTTATCGCCATTTCAAAATACTCAATAAAAAAAAAGGGACGTTGATTTCTAACATCTTCTCACTCAGATATGGTGAAAGATTCCTAACAACCGACTTGGGATTATTAACACATTCGATTATTGATAATAATACAAATCTCCCAAGTTCTCCTCCTCCTCCTCTCCTTCGAATCCTAATCCTTTCCTCCTCCTCGTCTCTTGCACTTCTCCTCTTCCTTGCTTTTTCCCTCCTCCCTCCTTCCCGTCCTCTCGCCAAGGAATGGCTGCGCAAAACCATCTGATTACCATGTCTCCTCACCTTCGCCCCCTTCCCCCC